ATTGACCAAATACTTATTTTCCACCATAATTTGCAAATAACTTCTTTCCAAATCAGCCAATGTGATTGTCTGGATTTTTTTTTTCTCATTCTGTCACTCATAGTTGAGGTCTACCTATGATGCCAATTACAGGCCTCTCATCTTTTTAAGTGGGAGAACTTGCACAATTGGTGGCTGACTAAATACTTTTTTGCCCCACTGTATATGGGCTAATAAGAAACCGAGAATTAGGTATGAAGTTCTGTGTAACAATATTGGGAAAGTGTAATCCTCCCTTCTCTTTCTTAAGAACTATTACACTGCGGTGATGCTGTCATGAATTGCAGATTGGACATATAATTCACAGGGGAAAAGTTGGGTTAAAATAAAAAGGTATATTAAGCAATACACGATTAGAGAGGATTATCTGGATACGACAACAGTTTTGCACTATGGATGAGACTAGTAGATTGACACACGAGGTTTTAAGAGTATGGAATAGAATGCACAATCAAGTGGACTAGAAGTATAATTTACTGTTGATTCCCCTGGTGAGTACTAAATTTAACGTTTCTGGGAAATGGTGTAAAGATGTAGATGCACGTTTGGGGGGATATAGTAGTTAAAGGGAAGTTGGGTACTTTTCAAGACTTAAAGAATAAAAAAAAAAGTTATTTGTGTCTTTAGATGCCTCAAACAGAGACTTTCACAAACTGATACTCGCAGCTTGATTACCCCTGGCTACAACCTATCGACCTGAACTCTACCCATCCTGTTCCTAGGCACGAGAACTCTAACTACCGGAAAACACAGTGACGAGATACGCCACTGCACGCTAGACTGTCTGCAACCAAGCCTCCCACCACACCTGTCCGCCACTCCGTGTACCTTCCTAAAATGCCTCCTCCACTCCTCATATTCCTCTCCTCTGTTCCCAAAATCTCTTCTCTATATCCCTCTGCTTCTCCCAAACAACTGTACATTATGCCCTCAATGCTTCCTTCGCCCCTCTATGGCACCCACTACCTCCTCCTAATACTCAACTCTCCCACTGACCCGAACACCTTCACTGGTAAGACTTACACACTCCTGCACATCCCGCTCTCATGCCCCCTTTCTCACCCTTCTAACTGCGGGGGACATTTCCCCGAACCCTGGCCCTCCACCACCTCGCTCACCCACAAAGCACCCTCCCACTTCCAAGTCCTGCCGCAACCCCCTCAACCTAGTACCTGTCCCTCTGCTCCCCAAAATCACTAGCCTACTGAATGACATATCAGATTGGATGTCGCTCCACTTCCTTAAACTGAACCTCTCCAAAACCGAGCTCCTAGTTCTCCCCCCGGCCCATGCACCCACCCCCACTGACTTCTCCATCACGTCCAACAATGCCACCATCAGGCCCACCCCGCAATCCAGAGTACTTGGTGTCATTCTTGACTCCAATCTATCCTTCCAGCCCCAAGTCCAATCGCTAACAAACTCATGCAGACTCCACCTCCGCAACATCGCCAAAATACGCCCATTCTTAACCCCAGAAACCACTAAACAACTCATCCACTCCCTCATCATATCACGACTCGATTACTGCAACTCCCTCCTCACTGGCCTCCCTCACCGCAGGCTATCCCCGCTTCAGTCGATCCTGACTATGGCAGCCAGACTCATCCACCTTACCAACCACTCCATCTCCGCCACCCCCCTCTGCCAATCCCTCCACTGGCTTCTGATTGCCCAACGGATCAAATTCAAAATCCTAACACTGACGTACAAAGCTGTCCATAATACTACCCCAAACTACATCATCGACCTAATATCCAAATACCACCTAAAAACGCACTCTCCGCTCCTCACAAGACCTCCTCTCTAGTTCCCTGGTCTCCTCCTCCCATGCCCGCCTCCAGGGCATCACCCATCCTCTGGAACTCCCTACCCCAATCCATGAGACTATCACCTACTCTCCTCTCCTTTAGGTGCACCCTGAAAACCCACCTCTTCAGGGAAGCCTACCCCGCCCCCTGCTAATTGCCGATCTCCTCCACTCTTCCTACCACTCCATCCCCCACAGTTTTTCCTCCCGTACCACTATCCCCTCCCTCCTAGATTGTAAGCTGCAAGGAGCAGGACCCTCAAACCCCTCGTGTATCGCATTGTATTGTTATTGTACTGTCTCATGTATTGTCTCCCATTGTAATGTACAGCGCTGAGCGAAATATTGGCGCTATACAAATACTGAATAATAATAATAATAATAGACGAATTGAGATATTGTCAGTTAAGGCATGTTGTTGCAAAGTTGCCCCAACCACTGGAGGATGATGGAGGACATGCTCCCGTTTGAAAAGATGTTGAACTCCAGGATGGCGCCAAAGCATGTTACTTCTGGGATATATAAAATTCTTGTTGAATGGGGGGGGGGGGGGGGGGGGGGGGGGGGGGGTGGGGGTGGGGGGGGGGGGGGGGGGGGGTCAGAACAGGTCCTCTACTGTTTTTTAGAGAAATGGGAACAAAAATGATGATTGAATCACAGAAAAGTAAAATGTTTAACTTAACACATGGGTCGATTAACGTGAACACAGTGGAAGTGAATTATAAATGTTTACGAGGTGGTATTTGACCCCGACGGTGACATTTGACATAAACGAGTAGAAGTCTCACCGTTATGTTGGAGGGGATGTGGATCTAAGGGAACAATGACACATATATGGTAGGATTGTCAAAAAAATACAGGGGTTTTGGCAAGATGTAATGCAGCTCACACAAGAGATTTTGTGGACAACTAAACAGAAGGATCCGTGGGTTTGTTTTATAGGACAGAAGCACCAGTGAAGCAGAATAAAAACAGTGAATTATACCATCTAATAAGTGCGGCTAAAGTGCTTATTCCAAAATTTTGGCAGGTACAAGAGCCTCCAACAAGGGACTAGTTAGATTATAGGGTGGAATATATAAACAGGATGGAGGAGTTAGACCATCTTAGACAAAGGTTTCTAAATTACCCATATTAGAAAGGATTGTCTAAATGGTATGACTTCAAGGCATCTGGAAAATATATGGAAGAAGTGGGAGGCCCAGGGATTTGATTGGCGGTAGGAGAATAAAGGGAATGTTCTGTAAGGCAGTAGCAGGAATAGGAGAAGGGAAAAGAAAGGTTGGAGGGAAAGAAAGCATAGTAAGAAAAAAAGGAAGAGTTGGAAATGAGGATTGAGGAGAAAGATCATAGGTATAGTTGGAAAGAGATGGGAAGAGCTATATGGTAATGGTAAATCATTAGGGGGTTTGAGTGTGTGTGTGTGTGTGGGGGGGGGGGGGGCATAGCGGGGAGGTGGAATTGCAAAATGTAGGGGAACGGACGTATTTTGCTGTGCTTTTGTAATGAAAAAAAAAAAAAAAAAAGTCTAATAAAAGATATAAGCACTACAGAGATAGGATGCATATGAGATGTACAGAAGGGGGAAGGGAGGGTGAGAGGGTAAACAAAAAATCTCACAACATTAACAACCCCCCTTAGCTTTGAATCTGCAGCTGCCGTCTCCCCTGGGAAGTCTTCATTCAATAAATTCTCTTTCCCTGTTTTCTCATTTGTGAGATGAAGAGGAGGGATCAATAGCATTTGTGATCTATCTGGTGATCACAAGGCACATAGTCACTCTGATTGGCTCTGTGCATGTCACCCATGACCTTTACTGTAACACATTCACATGTAGTGGCATTTCAGTGCAACATATCACTGCATCATTGGATAGGTTATAGAGACTTAGAACAACATTTGTGCTTCACTATACTATACACAAATGAAAGAATGATACCAAGAGAAAAAAAAAAAATGTAACAAAACATTTGGATGTTATATGTTTTATTAATGGTCATCAGACTTGCCTAACGAAAACATATAATATAAAAATTCAAAATTAAACTCAGGAGGTAAAGACAAAAGATACGTTAATAAAAAGATGATTCCCAATTTAATGTGGCCTGCAAAAGATAATGCTTAATGTACTAATAAATTGAATTCTTTTGGTACATAAAATAGGACATTTTATATATTTATATAAATAGGATGTATTGAACTATTTACAGTTAGAAAATTAAGGAAAACTGGGTGCATCTATTGAGGAAAGCATTGCTTTCAGTGCACTGAATCTTTTAAAAAGGAGGTTGATGTTTCTCCATAGCTATAGGGATTCCAGTCCCTCTCCAGTAAGTTGTCCAGCTGGTTTTTCTTTTGATGTCAAATTGCTATAGCAACAAAACCACCATCTTTCAAAAAGAATACAAACACAAGGGTGTGACACTTCTCCAGGAACTCTGATGACCCTCCATATATGCTACCCATTATATGCTATACTAAAGAAAGCCTTCTGGTGTGAAAATCTTCTAAAAACAGGTATTTCAGATTACAGGAGAAAAGTCACAAATAGAGTGAAGAGCACACACAATCAGAAACATTTAAAAAGTAATGTTAATTCTCTCAAAATACCCATTCTTGTAATAATCGGAACCCAGCAAATTATTGGAAAGTTGTTTTTATTTGTATTTTTTTTTATAATCCAGAAATTTGAGGAGAGAGTGTAAAATGGCAACTCCAATTCCAACAACAGGTGCCCATTTTATGAAATGAACCCATGGGCCATTTATCATGGCCACATACCCAGTGAGCAAAATGTATTTCACCTGCCCTAATCTCAGTAACATCACTAGTTTGTAGTGAAAACTGAACAGTCATTGTTTGGCTTGCATACTGTATGTTCCAATCTTACACAATTATTGCCCGGTCAATAAACCTGACAGTACTTAAAATGTTCATTCTTAAATCCTGAGGCCTCTAAAATATAGTGATTTTAGTAGCATGTAGATTGGCTTAACTAGGTACTATAGTTTAAAAAATATATTTTAATATTATGTCATGGGCGTTAAGTGCTACAGTACAAAAATGCTAGTTCTAATAAAGCGACCCTTTAAGCACAACCCATTTACCCACACTATAGAAGCATAGAATTTTAAGGAAACAAACTAGTATTTTAGATCTGCTCTTTCTTAACTTCTATTTTTTTGGCTTTCGGAACAAGGAAGACATTCCCATCTTTTGTTTGTTGAAGGGAATATTCACGAGGAGAGTATGGTTTTCCATCCTCATCGCGCAACTTGTTGAAGACCTCCATGTACAAGGAACCGAGCTGCTTCTTCAGAAGACGAAGGCTGTGGTTATAATCTCCCTTCTCGGCGAGTAGTTTTTCTTTCTCGTTCTTCAGGTTATCTAGATCACTCTCCAGCTCCACAATGTTCTCCATTTTCCTTTTTGCGACAATTTTGGGCTGCAACCTTATTTTTTCCACGCCTGCGTATATCTCGGATGAGAGCAAGTTGGGCGTCGTTAAACTGGTGCTTGGACATCAAAACATTGAAGTCATCCACAGGAAGGTTAACAATTGTATCGACTGAGAATGGTACATTAAGAGCTTTTGCTCTTTGCTCGTCTCTAGTGAAACGAGCCTCCTGGCGACTTGAAGCTTTGTCCTTTGTAAATGGGGTCTTACTGTGACCAGGCCTAACAGGCAACTCTGTTTCTGGAGAATTGTGAGATTCTGTTTCAAAGGATGCATCAAGTGGTACAAAAGGCGAGAGTGAATAAAATGCATCTTCTGTGATTGACATTGGGAACTCTTCAGTGGGATTTTTTGCTTGTACGGTTTCAGGTGTGCTATCCATATCGTCCATGTCAGAGTCACTGTATCCAAAAGGGGCATCTCCATAGACAGAGGAGCTCATAGACTGCCCTGGTGATGTAGCACATGGACTTGTGCCAACTGAAACTCCTGAATCAGAATCATTGTAATCTGATGGATTGTTCCCATTAAATGCTTTGCACATAGAAAGGTCCTTAATATCATCAACAGGTTCATTTAAAAGTTCAGTGAGTGACTGGCCTGAATTGTCTGTTAAAGGCACATTGGTCATTTTGGGGTCAATAAGGGTAAATATGTCATCACAAAAAGATTCCACGTTAAAGGTTTGGTTTGTGTTTACTGTGGGCACATTGGGTACAAAGGAACCTGCAAAGTCATTGGAGAAAACAGGTGCTGCATTTTCTACTGGCTTTTCCATAACGGATACTGGACTGTGAAACATGTAACTGTGTACAGTCTCTGTAAGGGGTTCTTGATTTGGATACATACTCAGGTCTGCAAAGCCATCAACCTGATTGCCGAGACACTGTATGGAAAGAAGATACAAAGCAAATTAATCAAGGAAAAATTGCAATTTCACCACCTTAATATACTAGACCAATGCCAAGAGACAATATTCCTAAAACATTATTGACTGATCACAATGGAAGACTTTTTTTTTGACTTGGTAAAGTGTCACTAGCTCCTGGAATAGACTGACAAGTGCCAAATTTCAACATCCAATTGTCCACTCCAGATTTAAGATTATGAATATTTATTTACTATGCCCATGTAAGTAATTGTGAGCTGGTTTAGGCGTAATCTCCTGACATACAGGCCCTGTAAAAGGACTCTGCCTATCAATATTACGAGGAGCAAATGTGTGTCCTGGTTTAGGATCACAATAGTCAGTTTGTATCACTGTAGGCCACATAGATCATCATGAGTGTTCTCTTGTACAGAGGGTGTTTTATCTGCAGTATTCCATTGTTATGGATACAGATACATAAAAAAATGTTTGTATATGTGTCAGTGTCTGTTTAACAAACTGCACAAATAATGATGAACTACAGGCACACAGAAAAAAAAGGACTACCGTTTAGTTCATAAAAATTTGTAATTCTATTTTAATAAAACATTAAAGTGTAACTACACTGTATCTGAGCCCCACAAACCAAAAACACAATTTAATTCATTTTTAATATTGAAAGCAAATTCCCCCAACATCCATCCCCATCTTCCATGCTTTATTTTGCTGAAAAATCACTTTGAAAAAGCACCCCCTAGCATTTCTGGCGGTGGCCATCTTGAGTAAGGGCAGATGATTCATGTAGCGTTTACTTCCTGGAATCCATCTGCCCTTAGCTCAAGCATAGAGGCAGGAGGGCATGCTTAGCTGAGAAAACCCCTCCTCCCCTCCTAAAGACTCCTGGGATATAGGACATCATTTGCCTAGGCCAGAAACCAGGAAGCAACTGAAGAAATGTAAAAATAAATCAAATAAAATGTAGAACATGTAAACATAATATACCTTTCTATCCATTTATTAATGCTAGTAGCATAAGTATTAAAAATAGTCAATAGTGTTGATTGAGAGAGTGAAGTTCTGGTTTAAGAACTGGTTTACACCATAGAAATGCAGTCCGGGTGTGTTTCGGATGCATTTCTATATGCACATTTTTGATGTGTTCCAGTAAATTTTTCCCCTCTCTTTTTCATCAACTTAAATAAGGACATGTGCGTTTTTGGTGCATTTTGATGAGTTTTGCTGCGCTGCCAGTACAGTTCAGTGCAGAAAAAAAAAAATGCAGCATGTTCTACTTTTTTTTTCCTGACACTGGAACTGACTGCACGGATGTGAACTATGCCATTGGAAACCATGTAACCTATTGTCAATGCTTTTTTTATGCAGAAAAAAAAAAAAAAAAAAAAAAAAAGCGCACTGGAATGCATGTAGTGTGAACTGGCCCTAACAAATATTATCCAATCTATTGCTCAAATTGCTAAATATTCAATTAGGCAAATTTAATTGTTTATGTCTAAATCTTTTAAAGATTATTATTATTATTATTACTACGAGTTTATATAGCGCCAAATTTGCTCAGCGCTGTACAATAGGGGGGACAATACATGGCACAGTACAACAACAACAAACAATGTACGTCTAAGAGGGCCCTCTTTTAGCTTACAATCTAGGATCAAGTTGTCTTACTTTAAAGGCAAAGTCTAGACATGTCAACACAGTCAGTAGTTGTATGTGGAATTTGACAGTGGTCGTGGGAAAAAAAAAAAAAAAAAATCATCATTTCTGAGGACTATCAGAGCTGTCCCTAGCCCCACCCGCAAGTATATTCCTATTGGCTCATTAATATGTTGGGCAAATTCACTGGCCAATAAGAAAATGCAGAAGATAGGTACAGGATTCGGCTGTGATTAGAAGGTTTTTGCAGCTGTTGCAGATTATATGCATCTTTAGGTGTCTGCACTTAATATGTAAAGCAGTTTGCCACCTTTTCCCCAGTGAAAGTCTCTTTAACCCCTTGTCTACCAATATATGTTTATAAACGGCCTGGTATACAAAGGGTTAGAGCAAGCTCTTGGCTGCTCCTACATCCATGAGCTTGCTATTGATTTTTTACTGCTGAGAAAGAACTTTTATCTTAAAGTGATCCTGGCAACTCTAAAACCACCAAATCACTTTTATGACTCTGGAGGTGTGGGGCTTAAACCCCCCAATCACACCGATCCAACTTTGAAATCGTGCAACTTCCAGTGAAGTCGCACGATTGCAAAGTTGGATGGTATTCTGACTTGCAAGACATATATGCTGCTTGCAAGACACATGTCTATAAAAGTTGCACCTAAAGTAGTGCATGCACTACTTTAGAAATCCGTGCAGCTCCGTCCAAGTCGGAATCGCACAGATATGACCACTGTAATTGCGGACAATAGGGTGCGACTTGCCATGCAATTTGCAAGTAGCATGGCAAGGCAAATCGCATGCCAAGTCACACCTGATGTGAATGGGGTCTTAAAGTATTTTTTTTTTTGCTAGAAGATTTTAAATGCATGCAAAAATGAGACTGCCCCAGTAGACACATGGTTAAGGAACTATGTGGTTTTTGTGCCCAGCCCACAACTGTATTGTATTAGACACTCTTTAGCTCTCCTATTTTTATGGTTGCCTTTTATATATAGACTTCTGATAATCAGAATTTGTATGCGATTGGCTTCTATAGCAAACATCACAGTAACAAAGCCTACCTGTAACTCAGGAATAGACAGCAGCTCCTCCCAGACCTGTTCCATTTCTTGCATGTTTTCTGCATTAGTGGCTGTGTTCTGCAGAGTTTCTGGTGCAGGAAGTTGCTCTGTAGGGTGGAAGTTCTGATTGACCTCTATGTGAGGACTGGGTGCAATTGCTGTATGGTAGGTCATTGTAGGTGCCTGAAAACATACATTGTATTTTTTTATATCATATTTCAAGTGTGTTTACAATGAATCTCTCGATATCAAAAATATGTAATACAAGCTTAAAAACAAACAAAAAAAAAAAAAAGTTGCCCTAACAGAGAGGGTTGATCCTTCTCTTCAAGTAAACTGTCTTGTGTAGCCCTCCATCATAACCCAGACAACTGATTAACCTTAGGCAGCCCATAGACTGTGCAGGAAAGAAATTAACACCCCCAAACAGTGCCGACAGGGGAATCCCTCCTGCTGAGCAATGGTCTTCTCCCGCTGGGGGAAGCGGTCCCTGCCGGGAGAAGACCGTGATTGCTATAGCAGCCACTAGCAATAATTGCAAGTGAATCGGGCATGGTCGATCATCAAATGGTCTATGGCCAGCCTTCGTATCACACTAACAAGATCAGACGTCAGACTCAAAATCTGCAGGAAAACAGAGGGGGAGTTTGTCTATTCTGTGTCTGTACACCTAGAAGCAACAACTAGAGGCATTGGGCAAAGTGTCACAACCCTCTTCCACCAAGAATCACACACAATCTGTGCAGGTAGGACAAATATGGAGACCATGTGGCACTGGCAGGCTGGACAGCTGTAGTGGAGGTGTAATTAAATCCACAAAGAACCAATAATACAATCAGAGACTCTTTCTTAAAGTGGTATTAAACCTGTCTTGGGGTGGCTCCTCTATCTCGTGGACAGCAGCATTGTTTGGAGTGGGTAGTGTTAGAAGGACTTTACAAAAGTGACTAACATATTAAGGCCCAATTCCAGCTAATACTTTGTAAAAAGTTACAGAAAGTTCTTTTTAATCCTTTTAGGATAAAGGTTTTAAAAAAAAATAAAAGCTGACCATTGTAAGTACCCCTGTCAGTGCTGAATGGTTTGTCTCAGCCTTATAACTGCCATTTTTGCTTAACAGTTTGATCTGTTGAAAAGGAAGTTGAAAAAACAGCTGTATCAACAGGTTAAAGCGTTACTAAACCCAGAACCCTGCATTCACTGGTCTCCCTCAGTACAGAGAACATGGAAGTGCAATTATTTTAGTAAATATAAAAAAACTGAGGCTTTCAATCACAAGTTATGTGCTGGAGCTCCCTTCCTGGTCACCATTGTTCTCTTGACGTCAGGAAAACTTGTCATAAAAGTGACCCATGCAGACTGCAGAGAAATGAGGCAGACAGACTTAGTACTCTGGATTCAGACAAGTACACACTATACAGGGATATGCTTTGTTCATATTTCATGGCAGAGGTTTACAACCACTTTAACGATCGTTAAGACCCCCTTTAAAATTGGACAGGATGGAGTTATCCTTTATACGAATTCACAAACAGGGTAATTAACATTCCATGCACGTGTAAATATCCAGGCAATATAACAATCACTTTTCCCTGCATATGTGTAGGGAAGCAGCAGCTATCCAACAGCATTTGATGGACCAGGCAGCCTCACGGGTGTGTTAGGGAAGAACTTGGGATACCAGGGAGGGGAAAAGTTAAAAAAAAAAAAAAAAAAAAAAAAAGAAGGAGAGAGAGGGATAATGTCATCCTCTGGCTCTTTGTGTAAACAGAAAACTTGCAGTAGTATCAGGTTGCCACCTGGGTTGCTGCAGAGGCATAAAATGTGTAAAGAGAAGGATAATGTCTTCCTTTGGCTCTCTAAAAAGGCAAAAAATTGCAGTAAATTAGATCAAGAATACTTTACTGCAATCCTTCGATGGTGTTCCCAAAACAAATCCATCCCAGGACTATGGCAGCATAATTAAAGAACTTGGGGTGGCTTGGTCCAGCCTCTCTCAACCAGGGTGCCTTGAGGTTTCTTCAGGGGTGCCTTGGCAAAATATCTAAAAATTGCCCAAAATTTGTATACAAGCCAACAGGTGGAAGAAGCCCGCCTTTTAGTTACACAAAGCCACAGGTTTTCATTGTTCACCATCACGACCTTCTAGGTAACCAATGAAATCAGTTGATGAGGATGTCAGCTGCCTGTAAAGCATCCTAGTTTGACCCTCCTCTGTCCCCTCTCCATCAGTTCTGGGGTCACATTAGCTCAGTGATGGAGAGAAACTGAGGGAGAAGAGAAACAGGAATACTAGTCAGTACCAGTGAGTGAAAGTGTATTTTGCTTTGGAAGAATAAATCACATTTAATGTTGGGTGGCCTATATGTGTGGATGTTGCTGCGTTATATATAAATTAAAATAGTTTTTCCCCATTTTAGAATGGGGTGCCTCGGGACTGTCCATAATTTGAAAGGGTTCCTCGGGACTGTCCATAATTTGAAAAGGTGCCTTGACTGAAAAAAAGGTTGAGAAACACTGGGTTGGTCTACAACAGTGATGCCTGTGGGTGCCTCATATGCTCTGGCCAGGTACTATATGTATGACATATATGCATTTTAAGACTGACTTGTCTAATATTTAATTTCATCAATGAACATTAAAACACAACCTAAGTAAGTATACACAGTATTGATTTGATAAAAAGACATACATTGGCTGTGTGCGGCCTCAATGAAAATAACCATAGTTACAGGTATGGGGCATGTGCACACTCATTATGCCCTTCTGCAATGCTTCGTGCCTAACCAGCCAATCATCAGGTCCAAGCATTGTCACATGGTGGTGGGGTTGTTACTAGCAGAGTCCCCATACTGATCATAGGATATGGTCTGTGTTTGCATAGGATCTAGGTAGAAGCTGCAGCAGGGAAGTCAAGTCAAGGTATCAGAAGATGCCTTCCACCCAGCAGGGTAGGTTTATTTATTTATTTTGTTCGGAAATCTTGCCAGCATGTGCTGCAACTTATATTGCATAGACCATTGCTAGTTGCCCAAACTTGCCCCACACCATACAATTAAATACAAGATGCAGCTTAGAAATATTTACCTCCAACTGGAATGTATCAGCAAAAATTTTCAAGCATTCATCAAAGGACAGTCCTTGGCCCAGATCCAACTTATTCTAGATACAAAAAGAAATGTAAACATTATCTCATTGACCCCAACAAGTAGTCCATGCCGCACTGCAAGTAAACAAGTGTGGACTAATTACCTGCAAGGAGCTTGTGACCGCTGCAGCCTCCATGGGTGCTGGCTGCTGAACAGGGATGAATTCCCCAGTCTCTTCATCTAATTGTAGATTTGGCAAAAAAGGCCTTTTCCTGCTCCTTCAGAAGCTGCTCCTGGTGTTCTTTTTTCAAGCTTCTTCTGTTTTTCCAGCTCATATTCTTTCTGTCTTTGGTGGTAGTCAAAAACTTCTCGACCAACACCGAGGTCAATGTCTTGTTTCCATAGGATGTCGATGAGTTCGGTATCCTAAGAATAAAAAAAATACAATATAGAGTCAGTAAAAAGTAGAACCCAACTGCCTTCATTACACTGAGGTAAATGGATAAAATGGTCTGAAGAATGTGTTCTGCAGCAGGATAATGACCCCAAACATACAGCCAATGTCATTAAGAACTATCTTCAACGTAAAGAACAAAAAAAAAAAAAATCCTGGAAGTCATGGTTTGGCCCCTACAGAGCCCAGATCTCAACATCATAGAATGTGTTTTGAATTACATGGAGACAGAAGGATTTGAGGCAGCCTACATCCACAGAAGATCTGTGATAAGTTCTCCAAGATGTTTAGAACAACCTACCTGCCAAGTTCTTTCAGAAACGGTGTGTAAGTGTACCTGGATAAAATAATGCTGGTTTGAAGCCAAAAGGGTAGTCACACCCAATGATTTAGATTTTTTTTTTTCTCAACTCATCTTGTTAATTGATAAAATTAAATCATTAACACTTCTATTTCTGAAAGCTTTCTTATTTTACAGCACCTTTTCACACCTTCCCCCCACACCTCGATTCTGGTTCAGCAGCATCTAACCCTCAGGGTATAGGAGAAAGGCTTTTTCCACCTTCTTTTGCAATCACATGTCCTGTCACATGAGATCTAGTAACAATAGGGAACTATCAGAGGAACTGTGCTCATTTCATTTCCTGTCTAAATAATATTCTACAATCACACAATAGGCTGTGTCTAGCTCACAAGGAAAGATACAGATCAGTATATTTGTGGAGTGATGCAAGACTTTGCCTTTTATTAATCTGCTCACAACAAGCGACACAAAATACCTAAACCTACCAGTAATACATCAGTAAAATTCCAGTTAACCATTTCATTGGAATTTGGACAGAGCTTTTTATGTAGAAAAACATGATACAAGTTTCATGATAAGAAGCTCAATTCACAAAAAAAAAAAAAAACTAACACAGGGGTCTGCAAACTCTCCAAAAAGTCAGTTTACTGTCCTTCAGACTTTAGGGGGCCAGACTGTGACCAAGTAAATAAATAATGTCCAATCTTTGGCATTAGGGGGAGAAATAGTTGGTGCCAGTGTCCGGAATAAAACCCCCCATCCTTGGTGCCAGTGTCCGGAATAAGGCCCCCTCATCCTTGGTGCCAGGGTCCGGAATAAGGCCCCCCCATCCTTGGTGCCAGGGTCCGGAATAAGGCCCCCCCATCCTTGGTGCCAGGGTCCGGAATAAGGCCCCCCCCCATCCTTGGTGCCAGGGTCCGGAATAAGGCCCCCCCCCCCATCCTTGGTGCCAGGGTCCGGAATAAGGCCCCCCCCCATCCTTGGTGCCAGGGTCCCGGAATAAGGCCCCCCCCATCCTTGGTGCCAGGGTCCGGAATAAGGCCCCCCCCCCATCCTTGGTGCCAGGGTCCGGAATAAGGCCCCCCCCATCCTTGGTGCCAGGGTCCGGAATAAGGCCCCCCCCCATCCTTGGTGCCAGGGTCCGGAATAAGGCCCCCCCCCATCCTTGGTGCCAGGGTCCGGAATAAGGCCCCCCCCCCCCATCCTTGGTGCCAGGGTCCGGAATAAGGCCCCCCCCCATCCTTGGTGCCAGGGTCCGGGAATAAGGCCCCCCCCCATCCTTGGTGCCAGGGTCCGGAATAAGGCCCCCCCCATCCTTGGTGCCCCGGAATAAGGCCCCCCCATCCTTGGTGCCAGGGTCCGGAATAAGGCCCCCCCATCCTTGGTGCCAGGGTCCGGAATAAGGCCCCCCCATCCTTGGTGCCAGGGTCCGGAATAAGGCCCCCCCATCCTTGGTGCCAGGGTCCGGAATAAGGCCCCCCCATCCTTGGTGCCAGGGTCCGGAATAAGGCCCCCCCCATCCTTGGTGCCAGGGTCCGGAAATAAGGCCCCCCCATCCTTGGTGCCAGGGTCCGGAATAAGGCCCCCCCATCCTTGGTGCCAGGGTCCGGAATAAGGCCCCCCCATCCAGGGTTAAGGTGCCAGGGTCCGGAATAAGGCCCCCCCCCATCCATGGTGCCTTGGTGAAATAAGGCCCCCCATCCTTGGTGCCAGGGTCCGGAATAAGGCCCTCCATTCTTGGTGCCAGGGTCCGGAATAAGGCCCTCCATTCTTGGTGCCAGGTCCGGAATAAGGCCCCCCATCCTTGGTGCCAGGTCCGGAATAAGGCCCCCCATCCTTGGTGCCAGTGTCCGGAATAAGGCCCCCATCCTTGGTGCCAGTGTCAAGAATTATCCCTCAAGGACCAGATAATGGCAAACAAAAGGGCTGCATCCGGCCCCAAGGTGCAGTTTGGAGACCACTGCTTTAACACAAGGATAAAGATCTTTATTACAGCCATGTAACTAAATTTCAAATCCCACTGGATGCAGCTAAAAACGACTGTCCCCTTTTTGAAAAAATTGATTTTTGCCCTGGTGTGTTAGCTTTGTGAACTAAGCTCAAGATATACGGTTTTCTGTATAACTGGCCAGTACTCCATATTCATGGCACGTATTATGGATCCAACATGATATGATTGAAAGTAATGAAATTATTGTGTCTTCACAAACTGGTGGAGAGATTGGTAAACGTTTGGTGGTCTGCTGGTGCCTCAGAATTGCACCACCAATGCATTAGATAAAATTGATATTTTGTGGTGGTCCAAGTACCTCATCCAGGTTCCCTTAGGGGGCTCCTTATAAAAAGGGAAAGACATGTACATCTCAAGGGTGTACAATTGGAGCCTACGACTTCATAATCTGCAATGGACAAGTCCCTTGTAAATGTTTAGATACTCCAACCCTAATCTGCAAATAGTATCCTGTGGTGTAGCCTCCTTTAGGCCAATTATTCTGTATGGATCTCTCACTTTAGTTAAATCTTTATATTTCAAGCTACTTGAATAATGTTTGAGTTGCACTTTATGCTCATTTGGTCAATGCAGAACATTTTAGATCTGAAAAGTGCAACTGAACAGTGCAGATTTGCAAGTTGTCAGAAACCTATTGATAAGTTTGATTATTTTATTTTCCAGGGACAATTTTCACCCTTTTGATCAGCCACTCCCTGTCTACATGCATGCACTCCACAAATGGCTACATGGCATTTCTCAGGGAAAGTTTCATGATGGTGACAACAGTGGGCCATGTCTGCATAATGTGTGACATGCAGGAACACAATTGTGAAACATGGTCAGATTGTTGTCACCCTATAACAGGAAGTGCCTAAACAAGCATCTTCATGGCAGAATCAACAGGTATTCTAAATAAAGACTTCAGATTTATTGCTCAGGCATACCAGCTTGGAATTGAAATCGCATCGATTGAATGAGAATGTCAGTGTCTTAACATTTACGATTTTCTGCAGTTTTTGTTCCGATTTCACATACATAGAATAGAATTGAAATTACACTGCAAATTGCAAGAAATCATTGGAAATCTTCATAAGTAACAATAAAGTCTTCAAAAATCGCACCTAAAATTGCACATAAATCGCACGATTTTAAAATTGCAGCAGTGTGACCAGTGACTTAATTTTGAAAACAAGTTCTAAACAAAAAAAAAAAAAAAACACAACACACACACACTACAATGTTAACACGATATTATAGGGCTCATTCACACCAGCCCCTTTGGGCAGTGTTGACCAATACTGTCTCAGTCTATAGACAATTTGCCTCATGTCCTATTGTTTCAGTTTACATCAATGTGCTGAAAAACAGTGGGACAGGTTACATTTTTATGCAGCACTAATTGGGACCGGAAATATTTTCCCGTAAAAAAAAAAAAAAAAAAAAAAAAATGTATGTTTTTTTACAACTAGTGCAATGCTTTGTAACACATTCCCCCACACCTAACACAATGGAGCATAACCTGCATCGGCTGGTGTGAATGGCCCCTTAGCAATATATGGATAATTTCTCACCAATTCTGTTTTATGCAAACAAATATATATCCTGTACCACTAGCACAGAATTTAGCGGTGTGTAACGTCAACCATTGTATTAGTAAACCCTTTAGTGTTGGCTTTGTGGTTGTAGTGGAACCGGAAGAGTGAGCATTCCATACTGGATTCCACAAGTGCAGAACTCCTTATCTCATTATACATATGTCTAAGTTAGCAATGAAAAGAGCAAAGAATGTGCATAGTGCATTAACTCATAGTAGCCTTTGTTCATATCTCATGAAAAGTACTAGCAAATATCACATGGTCACCCCCACCAACAACTCTGAAAAACGATTCATTAGAGAAGCTGAAAAAAAATATGTTAGGACCACCATGGCTTCCACCAATCCAAGGGATGTTAATGATTTCCCCTTCTTTACTCTAAATGTGTATACCAGGCCAAGAATAATTTTAATACCAGGTAGTACACAGACCCAAACTCCTCCCACGTCTATGGACACTACGTTTATAGGTGTTGGGGCAATGACAAGATTGCCAATTGGCCACTCTGGGTTGCTGCACACTCTTAAGCTGACAGAAGGTGACTTATGTATGAGATGTACAAGATGCAATACTGAAAAGGACATTTTTACTTGAAAGCTAAAACTTTTCACTGTCACTGACACCAATAACCTGGAAATACTTCAAGAACTCCTTTCTAATTGAAAAGTAAGACTGTGTGTTAAAATCACCCCCTTTAAACAAAGCCAAATTAACTCTTTAACACCATTCTTTCCAACGCAAGAACAGCCAATATGAACAGTATGACCTGGTATCTGGAATAATTTGAATTTCTGCCTAAACCGCACTTATGGCGATTCACAATACAGGAAGCATTTATTTTATCCAGGATCATAAAGCTTTTTTTATCCTGGTTTAGATCTCCTTAGATGTAACTTACCAGGGACATGGACCAGTAGTAACAAACCGGCATATAAATAACATACATTTATTAAGCATCCAGACCCTCTAAACTTTACATTTATGGTATGTTTGCAGCCTGATACTACAGTTGTTTAAATTCATTTTCCCATCATTAATCTACACACAGTACCCCATAATGACAAAGTGAAAAACAGAATTTT